CTGTCTGAAAAGGGTTTCTGTCTGCCCCGCTTCAGCATCCTCCGCCGACCTCCCTCTCTGAGCGAAATTCAAAAAACCAGCTGTGTAACAAAATACACATTACTGTTATGTATTTCACAAACGGGCAGTTTATTGTCATGTCATGTTTCATGCACATCTTGACAGAAATGAAGAACTGAAGTCCAACAATAACACATGAATCCCTGTTACATCTGAGGAGGGTGCACAGAGTTTAGAAGGAGGGAGACCTCTGTCTCGGAAAAATATCTTTGTCAGTTTGAAACAGTTTAGTATTTGTAAAGTCTCTTCTTCAGCAGTTTTGTAACTTTTACTGAGAAACACACACACACACACACACACACACACACACACACACACACAGAGGCCTGTTTTTGTCACGTCAGCACTCTAGATTTCATTCCTGGTGATGATTGTCTTCCTCGAGTGTCACAACAACAGAGCTCTTCAATGACCTGTGTGTGTGTGTGTGTGTGTGTGTGTGTGTGTGTGTGTGTGTGTGTGTGTGTGTGTGTGTGTGTGTGTGTGTGTGTGTGTGTGTGTGTGTGTGTGTGTGTGTGTGTGTGTGTGTGTGTGTGTCATCCACTTCCCTGTGTTTTATGGCCTGACATGCCGCCTCAGCAGCACCAATAAACAGAAGAAGGATGTTAAACACATTCTCCCTGTCGGAGCTTTTTAAGGTGGACTCGGGTGAACTGGCATGTTTGATAACCTCTGACTCGTCCTGTTTCCTCCTTTAGTGTGTCGGTGTGCGAGGAAGGTGAAGTGGACTGTTGGTCTGAGTAAAGTTTATTAGGTACATTGAGCTTTTACTAATGCAGTCCACTGTCACAGTCTAATAACCCCTCCTTGATGGAGGTTTCCGTGTTCAGTTTGTGTTGAAACACGTTTAAAAACGTCTTGATTCACGTTTTTAATGATGTTAACCCACCTTGTAAAATCATTGATATGAAGTTGCACATTTGAGTGTGTTTTTTTTTATTTTTTTAGTGTCAGCACAGTTCAGCTCTGACATTAATTTCCTCCGCCGTGTCCTCATGTTCCTGTTGCACACAGTCATTTTCTGCTGAGTGATTAGCCATGCTAGGCTAGCTGCTGCAGAGGCTGAGCTATCTCACCAACTCTTTGACAGATTCTGAATCATATTTTGCAGTCAGATTTATGTTTCCTGGAGTAAGTATCAGTGAGATGTGTAGTGAGTGAACTGATCTTACTATATGATCAGACATTAAGGAAACATGCTATGTTGAAGTGCTGGCTTCTCTGACAACAATGCAGCAGTCAGTATGTCCTCCTTCTAACTTTAGATTCTGCTCCTGAATGCTCTGGATTTGTTTGGACCAGAGAAGGTAGACAGTTTTAAAGCACCCCCCACACGGCCGTTTTGGACACCCCTCGGTTTCCCAGATATGAGAGCAGTTATCAGGTCAACAGGTGTTGCAGAGATGGAAGCGGGACAGAGAAGTGGTTCAGATAGAAGTGATTGTACCCGACCTAAAAAGCCTCTGCATGTTTCTAATAAGCTCCACGAGCAGAAACGTGCTCAAACTAGGATCAATATTGGAGATGCTTTTGAAAAATGGAGAGAGGTTAGAACACAGAAAGGTTTACACACCGATGCAGAGCTGGATAAACACTGAAGCTTCAGTGTCCACCACATGGTGACCTGCGTGAGCATCGACTCTAGAGAGGAGGGGGGCGGGGGGAGACAGCTCTCTACTATGTTTAGAATTTAGACTACAGTACCTGTTTTAACCACTAGGGGTCAGAGTTACATACTGCTCCTTTAATGTTTGTAATTCTGTAATGTGAGCTGTGTGACAACGATAACTTCAGAGGTTTGTGTTTCCATCAGCATGAGGTGATCACAGCGACATATTTGTGAATCCTGCACTTTGATGTTTTAATAATTACCTGCAGAATTGGCAGACAGTTACAGTTCCTATATCTATATGATGATGACTAGTTAAGGCTTCATCTTATTGGCCGAATGATGCATGCACCGTCTACCTGAGGCTGCACGAGGTGTGTACATTAAATGTTGGTTCTTCTCATGATTGCAGGTCAGCAGGTCACGTTGAACTTGTTGCTTTATGAAAACTACGGCGGGGCTTTGACTCTCCTGTCGGCCTCGGCTGTACTTCTTTGAGTTTGTGCAAATAAATAAATATTGACATTAAAACGAGCTAAACAAAGATGGTAAACAAAGTAAACATTTTAGCTTGCTAGCACTGACGTTGGGAGAGTGTTAGCATGCTATTAGCATTTAGCTCAAAGCGGAAGACTCTGCAGATTTCTTTTCCTGAACCACCGTGACGACGTCTGTGAAGTTTGTCTTTAAACTATTGACACTTTGGGTTAAAGTTCAACTTTTTTTCAACTGAAAGTGCAGCGGCAACGATCAGCTGACAGTGAGGGCGTCTCGGAGATGTGCCCGTGCAAAATATGGCGTCAGTGAACGCAGGTCCTGAAGTGTGACATCACCGTTGGGTGTGCTTACAGGTGCAAAAGAGCACATTTAAAAGAAAGGAATCAACTTCATCGCTCTTCAACAATCTGTGTGTGTGTGTGTGTGTGTGTGTGTGTGTGTGTGTGTGTGTGTGTGCGCGTGCGTGCGTGCGTGCGTGCGTGCGTGCGTGCGTGTTTTTCCTCTGACCCTCTCTGTGTGTGTGTGTGTGTGTGTGTGTGTGTGTGTGTGTGTGTGTGTGTGTGTGTGTGTGTGTGTGTGTGTGTGTGTGTGTGTGTGTGTGTGTGTGTGTGTGTGTTTCCTCTGACCCTCTCTGTGTGTGTGTCTGCTGAGTAAGGACGTAGGAAGCTCCTCGTCATCATCACTCATTTCCTCTCCCTCTTTTATCCGCTCAGCTTAAAATCTCTCCATCTCCAAAGACAAATATCCTCATTATAACGTCGTATAGAGGACTCTGTCGCTCCGTCCGCTACTTCGGCCAGATCAGGAGAATATCTGAAGCAGACCATTTTCAGCAGTGCAGACGTGAAAGCGGCTTTAGTTACTGTTTTTAACAACAGATCTCTCGTGTGTGCTGCAAAAAATGATTTAACTCTCAAACTGCTTGTTTTTGATTGAAGTGCAATGACGAAATAAAACATGTCTGCGTCTGCACATCGGAGAACAACACAGAGAACGTGGCGGCTACTTTACTGACTTTGTGGCTTATTTTGAGTCATTTGAGTTGAACGGTCGTCCTGTTTATTCTTCAGCAGTAGAGTCGGTGAGTGTGAAGTCGATCAGGTGCGTGGTTATAGAGAGAACTTCAACACCTTCTACACTGGACGGGTTTGTTTACCTTCTCGGGTGTTTGTTTGTGTTCATATCAGGTGATGTTTACCGTCTTTGAGGTTTGGCTCCTCGCTGAAGGGCGTTTAACGAGAACTTTTTTTGAGATTCAAAACAAGGTGGGGGTGAGATATCATTTACTGCAGACTTTCTGTGCACCCTCTTGGTGGGATAAAGATGTCCCGCAGGTGTCGAACACTAGTATCTGATCGGCGCTCTGTGGGCGCTCTGTGGGCGCTCTGTTTCTCAGGAAGTGGCGGTGACAGTTGGTGTGAAGTCACATGATCAAGTTTTACCTCCAGTGTTTGTGGAGCAGCATCTGGCTGTTTCCTCCGGGCTGCAGGCAGGAAGCTGTGTGTGCGGCTGCAGGATGGAAGACGCCCGCTGCTGGAGGCTTCTTACTTCTTCTTCTTCTGTGGAATACGTCGAGTCTGCACAGAGAGAGAGCAGAGGTTTAGATGTGACCTTTGCTCCTCTTCTCGTCGGCTGCATCAAAGACGGGAAAGTGCACATTCACACACTGATGGTAGAGGTTTCTGTGTAAAGTGACCTTCAGAAGTAACTAATCCCATTCATACACATTCATACAGCGCCGAAGCAGCGGTGTTTGTGGTTAGGTGTTTAGCCCAAGGACACACTGGACATGTGGCTGCAGGAGCTGGAGAGACCACAGACTCTACCACTGAGCCACAGCTGCCCCAAACAAGCTGACAACGTTTCAGGACTCAAACTTTGCCGTCGAATATGTGCAGACAGCGCGCCGGAGTTTGCTTATATTTTTGTTTCCGTGGTATGGAAAGATAATCTTCATGGATCCCAGGTGCGGCTGTGGCTCAGTTGGTAGAGTAGTTTGTGTCTCAACTGGTAGGTCGGAGGTTCGATTCCCAGCTCCTGCGGCGACATGTCCGATACGTCCTGTGTAATCCAACAATACTCAAGTGAAATGTTATTCGGCTGGTGAATAAATCTACCAATATCGGCGCATATCTGTGATAAAGTTAGAGATACTGATAGTCACTGGATGTGATATTATCGACCGGGCGATGAATCGGTCGGGCTGTGATTATTGTTATTAAAAAAGATTCAGAAAAAGGCTTTAATGTAAAGACAAGGACGCTTTTATCGAAACCAGAATTATTATTTTTAAGTCCCTCTCTTCAGAGCCTTGAAGCTCTACTGATGAAACACTCGTTTACCTCGCAGGACTCAGGTGTTGTTCGTCCACAGCTGGGGCAAAGTCAGCAAACACACACACCTCACTTATTCAGGTGTGAGTGGTGAAAAGAATCACTAGATATGATGCACAAGGACTCCAAACACCGCGGCTCCCAAAGACATACTTTAAAACAACGCGGCGTTCACAGCTCGTCTTCAGCTGCCCGAACTGGTTACTTCACAAATATTGTTTCTGACCCGAGGAAACTCTGCTGAACACTAAAGTCACACAATCAAACAAGCAGAGGGGGACAAACATCTCCCGTGATCCACGAGGTAAGGTGACAGTTTTTGTGAACAGAGTGGAGGCTTTGAAGCGAGCGATGAAACAGCTGGTTCTGGTTTCTTTGGTGAAGGCGCGGTGGACATGCTGAAAATCACATTCTTTTTGTCCTTTTACGTGTGCGTGTGCGTGTTTGCGTGCTTGTGTGTGTGTGTGTGTGTTTGTGTGTTGGTGTGTGTGTGTTTACAGTCAGAACCTGCCAGTCTACCGGCTCTAGACATCAGCAGCAACTCAAACGGACCGAAACAAGATTCACTGTTCAAAGACGATCCAGAGGACCTGTTTGCAGGTACACACACACACACACACACACACACACACACACACACACACACACACACACACACACACACACATACAGAAACACACACACACACAGAAACAGACACACACATACAGAAACACACACACACACAAACTTTCACAGAAACACACACACATACAGAAACAGACACAGAAACAGACACACACACACACACACACACACACACACACACACACACACACACACACACACAGAAACACACACACACATACAGAAACACACACACACACAAACTTTCACAGAAACACACACACATACAGAAACACACACAGAAACAGACACACACATACAGAAACAGACACACACACACACACACCCACACAGAAACACAGACACACACACACACACACACACACACACACACACACACAGAAACACACACACACACACAAACACACACACACACACACAGAAACACACACACACACACACACACACACACACACACACACACACACTTTCACAGAAACACACACAAAATATTCTACAATTTATTTATCAGACGCTTTAATCCAAAGCGACGAACATCAGAGAGTGAAAACGACTCGAGCGAACAAACAGCTTTAAGTCTGATCAGACACACAGGTGCTGACAGGAAGTGACCACATGGGCTGACAGGAAGTGACCAGAGGCAGAGCACAGCGTTAATATATAGTCATCAGCAACAACATGGACCGCTGCTCTTGAGAGTTCTGCATCAGAACCATCTTAAATAGTCAGTAAGTTTGTATTTTGTGGCGGTGGACGTCAGAAGTGAGCTCGCCACAGAAATCTCGCTCCGAATCTGAATCAGCGTTCAAACCAAACGTTCCTCTTTCCCACAGCGTCTCTAATGAGCCGGGAAATTCACCTCCATCCTGCTTTGCTAACTCTCAGCTTTGAGTCCACTCACCTGCAGACGCTGCGTTACAGATCCACGCCCACCCTTCTCCCGTCCGCCTAAAACATCTGCACGCTTTAAAGAAATCAAACCCCATGTTGTTGTTTTCTTCATTCCTACAACATGTGGCTGTGTTTTGAATTCAAACTTAATCATCATAACGGTAAAGATAAAAGACTCTAAAAGCTGCTCTTAAATGATAAGAAATATGTTAATTGGAAACGCGTTGTGGTTAGAAACGCCCAGTGGGAGGGGCTTCTGCTTTTTAAAGGGGGCTGCTGTCGGACGTTCTCGGTTACTCTGGACTTATTTACGCAGCAGGTGGATCAGCTGGTTCGTGCTGTTTTGACTCTTTTTGCAACCTTTTTGCGAGTCGTGTGCATATTTAGTGTTTTCCTGTTTTTTGCACTTTTTGTTTTGCAAATATTTTCACGGCGCCGCTTGAAGCTGGCGAGGAACACGTCCTCCATCATCACTTTTCACGACTTCTTTCCGGTTTGTTTTTTGGGAGTTTTGAAGCAGAATCCCGCTGCACATAGGTATCGTATTTCTCTGTTTTTGATGAAGAGTGATCACGGTTGTGCTGCATCGCTTTGACCTGACAGATGTTTCAGAGAGCGCAGCTTCAAATTCATTTAATGAAGAGTATTTTTACTCTCATCAGCAACATGTTGACAAGTCTGAGTGCACATAGACCACTCACTCCTTTCTAGTTCTTCGGCAATTCATCCAGTTTCAATTTCACTTTTTTTATTTCTCCTGAGGGTCATAAAAACAAGATAATCAGGATTGAATGATCGCCGTGTGGCGCTCTTTACCTCTGCAGATTTTGTCACATTTTATTTTGAGTTCATCACCACGACCTCAAAAACTCAGTTGTTGTTTTCAATTATTTATTTCACTGGAATCACTAAAACTGTCACATCCACTTCACATGTACAGTTTATATTTTTCAGTTTTCAGCTGGAGAGAATTTAACGACGACTTTCAGACACATTTTTCAAACTTTATTGGTCGTTACATTTTGATTTTGGCTGCGCTTTTCTTTTTCTACTTCCTGTCTCTTTCTGGTCATTTCCTTAATGATACATTTGTAATTTGTATTTCTCGTTGTACTACGAGGGGTTAAGTCATTATTAACAACATCTGAAAAATAAAGCCTAAACTTAAACAATGATCAGAGCCTTATGGTTAAAGCATGTAGCTTATATTCACCTGTGATGAACAGCAGCCTCCCTTTGTCATGTTGGTGCAGAGTTCAAGTATTCGTGTTATTTTCAGTCAAGGTTAAATACGTTTCTTTGTAAAAAATCCCTCAAATGTCGACCACGTTCACACCTCTCTGTAAAAAAAGAATAGTGATGTATATTTTACTTCCTGCTCTCGCTCACCGTCTCTCTCTCTCTCTCTCTTTTCTCCTCGTAGAGGCCACAGAGGAGGTGTCGTTGGACAGTCCAGAGAGAGACGTCCTGCTGTCTGACGGC